CGAATTGATGTCCCAGCAGGATCATCTACTAGTATGAGAGCTAGTGAACCTAAAGCACGCCTGAAGCGTGGTAGCCTTTGGGTTCTAAGGATCGAAATCCTAGAAAAAGAAAATCAACAAATGATCAAAATGATATTATGAAGAGATCTCCTGAAGAGACCCAAGATCTGATTAGTTCTGAGATTCCTGAAGAAATCAATGAACCCGAGACTCAAGTGAGTGAGGAACTTTTAATAAGTTCTACTGGTGATGGGATTAATTTAAATCGATCTAAAATAGTTGTGGATATTATTTTTGCATATAATGTTGCACTTAACATTATGCAAGATAGTGAGAATCTTGAACCCCGATCTGTCGAATAATGTCGACAAAGATCTGATTGGCCAAAATGGCAAGAGTCAATTCAATCAGAATTGAAGTCACTTGCTAAAAGAAAGGTCTTTGGACCAGTAGTCCAAACACCTGCTGGTATAAATTCAGTTGGTCATAAATGAGTTTTTGTGCGGAAAAGAAATGATGAAAATGAAGTTGAAAGATACAAGGCTCGCCTTGTTGCACAAGGATTCTCACAACGACCTGGAGTCGATTATGAAGAAACACATTCACCCGTTATAGATGCCATAACATTTCGATATCTCATCAGTTTAGCCTTACGTGAAAGGCTTGAAATACATCTAATGGATGTGGTTACATCTTATCTATACGGGTCACTTAATAATGAAATTTACACGAAAATCCCTGAAGGATTTAAAATTCCTGAAGCATATTCAAAATCTCGAGAAATGTACTTAATCAGATTACAAAGATCTTTGTACGGTTTAAAGCAATCTGCGCGCATGTGGTATAATCGCCTTAGTGAATATTTGCTGAAAGAGGATTACATAAATGATGTTATTTATCCATGTATTTTTATAAAGAAAATGACTTCAGAATTTGTTATACTTGTTGTTTATGTTAATGACATAAATCTTGTTGGAACTCCAAAAGAGCTCCAAAAGGCAATTGAATATCTTAAGAAAGAATTTGAGATGAAAGATCTTAGAAAGACAAGACTTTGTCTTAGTTTGCAGATTGAACATTTAGCAGACGGGATCTTTATCCATCAATCTGCCTATACAGAAAGGGTCTTAAAATGCTTTTACATGGACAAAGCGCACCCATTGAGTACACCAATGGTTGTTCGATCACTTGAAGTGAATAAAGATTTATTCCGACCTCCAGAAGAGGATGAGGAACTCCTTGGTCTCGAAGTACCCTATCTCAGTGCAATTGGTGCATTAATGTATCTTGCTAATGCTACAAGGCCTCACATAGCATTTTCTTTTAATTTACTAGACATAGTTCTTCTCCTACACGAAGATATTGGAACGGGATTAAGCATATATTGCGATATTTAAAGGGAACTCTCGATATGGGTTTGTTTTATGCTAACAAAAATAGTACAGATCTTGTTGGTTATGCAGATGCAGGTTATTTATCTGATCCCCATAAAGCTAGATCTCAAACCGGGTACATATTTACATATGGAGGTACTATCATATCATGGCACTCCACAAAGCAATCTATTGTTACTACTTCTTCAAATCATGCTGAAATAATAGCTATTCATGAAGCAAGTAGGGAATGCGTATGGTTGAGATCAATAATTCATTTTATTCGAGAAAAATATGGTTTGGAATGTGAGAAAAGACCCACAATTTTATATAAAGACAATGCTACATGCATAACCCAATTAAAGGGAGGATTTATAAAAGGAGATAGAACGAAATACATTTCACCAAAATTATTCTACACACACGATCTTCAGAAAAATGGCGACATTGATATGCAACAAATCCGTTCAAGTGACAATCTGGTAGATGTATTCACTAAATCTTTGCCAACTTCAACTTTTGAGAAGATGGTATACAAGATTGGAATGCAGAGACTCAAATATTTCAAAACAAGGTTCTCATCAGGGGGAGTAAAATACGCGATGTACTCTTTTTTCCTTACTAAGGTTTTTTTTCCCACAGGGTTTTCCTTATAAGGTTTTTAATGAGGCAGCTAGAAATGCGTATTACTAAATACATGTACTCTTTTTCCTTCACTAGGATTTTTTCCACTGGATTTTTCCTAGTAAGGTTTTAACGAGGCACAATACCTTTTAATGAACATCTATGGGGAAGTGTTATGAAAATAATTATATTGTGGATGTCCATTTATTACTCCGCTATAGATAATCTTCCTGAAGAAGCAGCTGATGCAGACAGGTTGCAAACAGCTCAATGAAATGATTTCCAGCAGCTTCTTATTAAACAGGCAGATTGCAAGCAGCTTATGCAGACAACTTACAAGCAGCTAAAGAAAAGCCTTGCAGCTGCTTCCTGAAAAGCCTCGCAGCTGCTTCCTTTCTTCTATAAATAGAGGAGTTTTCAGTTCATTATGTACATAAGTTTGAAGTTTGAATAATATATCAATCTCTCTCTATACTTGTCTTCAGTTTATTTACTTTGCAGTTTTTATTTTATAACACTCTGTATCTTTTCAATTTTATCGCTCCCGCTAGTTTTTTTTTAATATTATTTTTATTTAGGGGTTATTAACAAAATAAGTAGAAAACAATATCAATTAACAATGAATTCAAACCTTTCAAATTCATATTGTCACATGATTTGCATTGGTAATGCATTGAAAAGTACTGGACATTAAATCAGTGGAGTTGATTCTGTTTCTAATTATAGGTAGGACCGTAGGAGTATTAAAATATCTAAAAGTATAGAAATGTTTAAACATGATAAAACAAATTGTGTGTGGTGCATTTATTGCAATCTTCGATACAATTTGACTATTATTATTATTATTATACCACCAACCACCAACATTGACTGAATGATAGTGCATTTTATTGGATTACTATATTTAGAGCCCGTATGAACATAAGAATTTTTTTTTCTCAATTTTTTTTTTTTCGAAATCATATTTTATTCATAAAATTTTCAATTTTCACTTGAAAATACATTTTGAAAATTTTCGAAAATTTGAAAAACTCTAAAAAATTATTTTTCAAAAATTTCACTCAAATCACTCACAAAACATCAAAAACAACTCAAAATTATATTCATGTTCAAACACAACTCTAAATACCTATTTTGTTATTTTACAATTCTTATGTCCAAACGCCCACTTATATTAGTCGTGCAAAGTATTAATTAATTGGGGAGTACCTTATATAGATTTAACAAGTGAAAAGAGGAGGAAGAGAAATTGGATTCTGTATCTGGTATGTGATCTAATCCTTTTTTAAAAATAAAAAAAAACAAATCACCCGATATCTGGTATTCATTTTAGACTTTTAACTCGTTTGGTACGAGAGACAAAGAATAATTAATTTCGGGATTAATTTTAAAATGAGTTTATCTCGCATTTGGTTCAGATAAAATTGTAGTATAATCAATTTTGGAATTAGTTATCTGGGCATTATAGTGTTACTTTTATTTTTATAGGAGAGCGGAATAAATAATCCTTGGATCAATTATTTTCCAACCAAGTGACCCTTTAGGGTTAAGACTAATTTTGATTTGTTTAGTGAAGTCCACTTTGTACGGTAAAACTCTTCCTACCAATGATAATTTTATACTCAGGTCCTGAACACAAAATTTTTAATTAAGGAACGAAGAATACTTATAACTCTACCCTACTATTTTATGGTATGTGATCTGAAACTGACTGTTCTTGTCTGATAGTAAACGTGGTCTTTTCTCTATAATTTTGCAGGGACCATGGGATTGCCTTTTTTAGATCTTTTCTATTATTGTATATATATGTATCTCATTAATGGAAAAACATAGAATAAACCAACAAAAAATGAAAAAGCAAAAAGCAAAAGAGACATAAGAAGCATCAATCGCTGTCATCACATCTACACCACATAGAAAATTCAGATATTAAACAAGTTTGGGAGATGCATCTACACAAGATATTTTCACACTTTAGCTGATTTGAGAAACTTTAACAAAACCAGATATTGAGAAAACTTACTGTTCATTTGTTTAAAAATATTATAATACCGGGTGTTGTTATAAAATAATTATTTGTGCGGTGAATAATAATCAAGAGATTGCTATGCATGAATTACTTGTTGTAATATCATTTTTATATATCTTTATATACTTTTAATCTTTGTATTGCTAATTGCTAATTGATACATGCGTTGTTATTCTCTATTTTACATAAAATAATACATAAGTTACTTAATACGTGTATTATTTTGATACCGTCAAGCAAACATTGCATTTTAATTAAATTCTACATGAGTTATTTTTTCGATATGACCAACCAAAAGCTGCATAAGTTAAGTTACACATAAAGGGGTTGGTTTGTACAATGGTGGGATATCGCATGTGATTAGTTATCTTCTTTCTATATGGAGTAACTAAATCCATTATTTTAGTATAAAAGTTATCCTTGTTTAGCTGATACCCAAAATCAAACGTAGAATATTAAAGTTAAACCCAAACTTTATCACAAAATTATTATTCTTATCCCATGTACCAAACGATCCCAAATTATTTTTTCTAATCCCTTCTAGCCAAACATAATATTATCTTATAGAAGATTTTATGCTGGATTAATTTTTCAATTCTTCCAACCACATGACCCCTAATGAACAAAAATACAAATGTGACATCTTTTCTTCTTTAAGGTCCGGAAACATATATGCTATTTCTGTTAGTAAAACTTTATTAAAAAACCAGAAATTGGAGAAGCACATAAATAAAATAAAATATAAAATAATTTTCAAGCCCACAAATTACTTGTATGCCCTTAAGGAATTTAATCCCTTGTTATTGTCCAAGGTTATGGATAACTTCCTCCCACGATAGAACAGAAAAACTATTCTGTAATACGGGCAATCGAAATTACAGAACAATCGGAGCAAATCACACTTGACACTTATATGTTTGTTTTGGAAAACCAATGCAACAATGTGGAAGGAGAAATTTTCAGATTTTTCTGTGTGTAAAAATGAGGTCAAGCCCCTAAATTTATAGATAATAAAATGATGAGACGGAGAGGTACAATCCAAGAGGCGCCTCTTCCATTCTCCATTCACACGTACCAGTTAAATCATAAAAACATTATTTCAACTCAACATCTAAGTTTCAGATTCTGTAATGAGACAAATTAGAATTGCCATCAAGTCCTTTCTGGCTAGAGTATTCAAAGAAGTCCTTCAATGTAGTTGCTCTATACTTTGGAGGATTATCTTCTGATAATAGCTCCTCAATTGGTCCATAAATCCTAGAAGATGCCAAAGGCCCTGTGCCGAAGAAGCTTGCTATTGATATTCTTGGGCCAACTTTATTTGTCAACACTCTGTGCTCTATGCTTTTGTACTTGTCATTTGATATGAGCTGAAAACCAAAATTCAAAATTCAAAAAAAAAAAAAAAAAATTGACAGTGGCATATTAAAATTGATTTAAAGAAAGATTTATTTGATATCAGCTGAAAAGCAGAAAGGGGATTATCATCTACATTCTTCAGTCTGTTGCATCAAAATCTCTAAAACTAACTTTTATAATAAGAAAATAACTCAACTATATCTATATAACATTAAAAGTAAAAGTGCAAGAAAATGCTACTAGTAATTTGAATCTTTAGAAACACAAGTAGGCTGACATATGTATAATATAAAATAGCTATATAAATATGCCACATCAGCAACTCACCGTACATAATCGACAAGGTGACACATCATGGGTTTTTTATTTTTTATTGGATGATATTAATGTATTTAACCGGTTTTCCAGATTACTAATTGCAGTTATTATGAACATTACATGTAATTGTTTTTAATTATCGGTAAATAAAAGTTAAAACTCGAAAAAAAGTACCTGCACGTCTCAGGCAATTCCTCTGGCTTAGCAGGAGTTGGAGCCATAACAGAATAAAGTGAGTCTCTCCAATTTGCTGCTAAAGGTTTCTCACTAAACAGATCAAAATTGCAGTTGTACATTACCTTCCTCGCCACATCTCGACTATAGTATGGCTTCTTAACATCGATTTCTTGCTCGTGAAAACGACGTGCCCCTCGCAACATTTCATCCAATACTGACACTGGAATTCCATGATTGATCACTTGGAAGAAACCCCATGTTTCAGCTGCATCTCTAATTTTGCTTACTATTTCTTTGTGCTTAATAGGATCTTTATTCATGTTTTGAAGGTCTATTAATGGGAAAATAAAACTTGTTTTTTTGGGGCTCGAGGGGTTTTCTAAGGCCTCTGGATGAATGAATATTCGAGGTACTTTAGTAATCCCAACATCAATCAGCCCTTTGACACCAGCTTTTGTGTCGTCAAAGGCTTTTAGTTCACTTTGTTTATCATAGTTTGGTTGGGAAGTTGCAAGATTTTGTTGTGTGTTGGAGACATCCATTTTGGCCTAAAGGTGTGGTAGAATAGTTAGAATCCTCCGCTCTTAATTAATTAGAGATATCTGGTTCGAGCACTTTGAATAAGAAACAGAAATACAACAAGTAAGAAATGGATGTCCTAAAATAAGAAATAAGGGACTGAGAAACACAAAAGTTTGATTAGAAAGAGAGACAAGGATGATTTAGATTTTGGTTATAAGTATAAGCATCTTATAGTGACCATAGAGTTAATTTTACTTGGACACCAAGTATAAGGTCATTTTAAAATATTTGTAAGCACATGCGAGTGACAATAGAGTTGGTGCTGCTTGGACAATAATGTATGGTCCTTAATTTAAAAAAAGAATCAGACGAACAAGTGACTATAGAGTAGTTGGTACTTGGGCACCAAGTATATATTTGGTCCTTTATAAAATATCATAATTTAATAATATATAATTGAAATAAGCATGTCAATTTTTTTTATAGCACGTTTGACCAAGCTTTTTCCGGGGCAAAACTTGTTTATTTCTCAAAAAAATATTTTTTCTCTTAACTTAAGGTGTTTGGCCAAGTTTGTTTGGGGAGAAAAGTTAGTTTTCATGAATAGAAGTAGAATCAATTTTTGAGAAACAGAGAAATAGCTTCTCCCCATAAACAGAAGTGGAAGCATTTTTGAATTTTTTTTCTTACCAAAAATATTTTATCAAATTATTGTATACACTCCCTTCGTTCACTTTTAGTTGTCAAGTATTCTAAAAATAAATTTTTATTTTTACTTGCCACTTTTCACATATTAAGAGAAAAATAATTTATTTTTCATGTTTTGCCCTTAGCATTAATTACTCATTCCAAGTTATTTTTCAAATCCATTAAAACTATACACCAATTAATATGAGTATTATGATAAATTATGTACTTTATTTATTATTTATTAAGAGGTGTGCAAAGTCCAAAGTGGACAAGTAAAAGTGAACAGAGGGGGTACTAAAAATTGTCTTACTTAATTTAAACTATTAAGTAATATAATGACTTTTGGGGTGATCTTTCATATTTGTTGAACAATTTTTTGATATATATAAATTATCTTGACAGAATAAAGTACTTTCAATTTTATTTTTATATTTTACTTAAATAAAATGAAAAAATTTAATTATCGTCTTTAATAATAAATATTTGTAATTAATTATCTGCTTATATAATATTAACTATTAAGTAAATCTCTCCTTATTAGTAATTTAATATTTAAAAATACTTTTTAAAAAACATGATCAAACATAAATTATTGCTCAAAAGTATTTTTCAAATTGATTAACAAAAAAAAAAATCTTCAAAAATACTTTTTTCAAAAAATATATTTTAAAAGGTACTTAGTAAAATAAACTGATTTCTATACTTGGTCAAACAAGGTATTAATCATGATCCACGTGCCGCTATAACTTTGTCGACATAAAGTCATAAAGATTTGGCAACAGTAGGAATAGAAAGTAAGTAATACAGTTTATTCCTTTATTATTAGAAGAATCTTTTTTCTTTTTATTAATGGTCAACTGGTATATTAGGAGGCAACTAGTCAAACAAGTACAATTTAGATAAAAGAAGTACTAACTTAATCAATAATTGTGTAATAAACTATGTGAGAAAGAAATATAAAAATACTTGTTTTTTGGTAAAGGGTAATTAGCTAACAGCCACTGATTCATGTAAATGGTTACCCTTTAATCAAGGGACTGTTTGGTAAGGTACAATCAGAAAGTATAACCAACATTGTTTTCTTTATTTATACTTGTGTCCTCAACATTTCTCTTTCAATCCCAACTATTTCATCTTTATCTATATGTTCTTTTCCTTTTTAAATTGAAGTACACACTTGATTTTGATATAGTCACATATTTTCAGGGTTAAAAGATGGCACAAATGGTAAGACCAACAGAAAAATTCCCACTAGAAGATCAAGACATGCAAAATCTCCATGTAAACAAAACACAAGTAAGATCCCTTCATTATCCCATATTGCTTGATTCTTGGTTTTCCCTTTATCTTGGTTTTCAAAATTACAATATTTGATCAAGAAGCAGGATATAATACTACAAAGAACTTTAAATTAAAATATATATATATATAT